GCCAGGTCTGAACCGTGGTTTTTTTGGACGTACAGCAAAACCTGCACTATACGCTCTTCTGTCTTACGTTCTCATCATTTTTACATGCATCTCTTTAAATTTCAGTTGCCACTACTTCCAAAAATTACAAATTAACACTTTTGTAAGATACGTAACTGATAAACGGTTGTTTGAGCGACGATTTTTGTATTTATAGTTTTGCGTTTTTTTTTCACAGCACAGCGGTGGATATTCATTGAAAAAACTCAACGTCCGGTTTAGTAATAATAAAAAGGCTACTAAATACTAGGCTAAGTAGGCGCTTGCACACTCCACAGGCCCATTGCCATCATTAAATCACAATTTGCATACTCAAACATTCAAATATCTTAGAACTCATTCTTGGAATACTGCATTTACGTCGGATAGATATCGTTAAAGTTAAGTTTGAACCGATTGAGAACTACAACGGACTGATGAGTACCTATGGTCCCAAGGTACATTTGCCACAGGTTATTATCGGGATTGATTCATAATATCGGAAACAGTTGACAAGCAGCTTGTGACTTCCAATGAATATGTCTTCGCTAGGAGGTATGAGCCACATTTTAATAATTCGTTCTACGAGACTCTTCAAGCTCTCATCTACATTTAGGGCTGAGGGAAACCCCAATTGCTATGAAAAAGAACGGATTCTGCACCCATGACTTTGCCATATTTTGTAACACCGTATTCTTCTGCTGCTACCAATAGGACTAAAATCTGCATATATACAAGCAGGAATAGACGAAGTGATTAACTTCTGGGAAACGAAAACAGGGAAATTTAGCGATCATGCAAATGAGCGATGTCTTTCAGCAACTGTCCTCGATTGTGTCCTTAGCAGAACACATGCATTTAGATACAAAGGGGGATATCACATTCCAGGCAAAATCAGGGAAGAAAGGGAGATAAACGACGTCTGAGAAGACGGAAATTGAATGCAAATGGAGTTTGACGGTTTGTGCAAACCCAACGCCAACATTAATTCTGATTTATGAAAGGCGGTTTCCATGCTCCCGTTCCGTGTCTTCTACCCGCCGCTTGACCTCACTCCGCAAAATCCACGTCGACCTAGCATCATTTGCCTCACGTCCCTAAGTGTCAGTTATTTGGGACAACTCCGTTAAAGGAATGAAAGACGCATTTTCCTACTCCTTATAAAAATTAACATCACTATTTTTCCTCCATTTGCACATTTGTGATTAGGTTTCGCACGGGAAAGTATTTTGCTCAATTTCCCAAAGTGTTGAATAACTCGAAGTGAATGGTAACCCTGGATGGAATTCACGCCGTTCGGTACGCTGAAAATGAAATTTTTATGTGCAGACGCTATTTTGAGAAGCCACAACCGAATTAAACGCTAGCGACGAACACGATCAGTTGCGCCCTTTGACGCAGTGTATCATTTATATCAGTGCGTATCTGTCGTGACGCATTGAATTAAAACACGCAAAAATATGCAGCAGCAACAGTAAACTGTTCAGCGGCTCTTCATGTATTTTGCCAATTGTCTTTCGTAAACATTAGCTTAAAAAAATAAGGTCGTTTGATATCATAGTCGTTCTTTGAGGATGGTGAAACCTCCCAAACGTTTCCTGAAATATTTCAAAGTAAAGAAAAACGATTTCTCTGACTAATTATTTGCTGAATATTTTCGTATAAACATATAACTCATTTTCCTGCCTGTTCTCTCGAAGCCGAGGGCGTTTAGTGTACTCAAACAATATCCGTTTTCATACACTTTGTAGTCCTGCTTAAGCGAAACTTTCGACCTACCTGTATTTTACAATTTTCTATATATGACCTAAATGCCAAGATGTCTACAAGTTGTCAACTCTAACCCGACTTTTCTGTAACAAAAGTAATTCTTTATTTTCCGGAAATGTATTACTTCGGTTGATATCTAAAATTCGCACTATGGAGTGGAAATGACAATGAAAAAGTAAAGGAAAACGTGTTTATGCGCTTAGAAATTCCTCTACCTCAATACGCTTGCTTGTTATAGATTGTATGTCTTTTTGGAGGCCCGTATAGAAGAAAAATTTCGTATTTTGATGACTCGCACTAAGTTTTATTTAAGAGAAATCTCGAGTAGCACTGGAGGCAGAACATTGCAGTCGGTCTACATTTCCAATGAAGCTGCCATCCGAACTTCAGTATTTTTTTCTGCATTAAAAATCATCGACTGAAACTAAGATATTCTGCAACAATACATTTATTTGCCTGACGTTCCGATATCCGTCGTGGCTTCACCATCAGAGACATTAGAAGGAAACAGTCGCAGAAACGGGTAAAACATACACGGGAGTTCAGTTTTTATTAGGGAAATATAGGTAAATACAGTTTGCAGTATTTGTTGGATACAGTCATTACTGTAAACATACGGTAGATTGTATATCTGATGCAAGGTTGGGAATAGGAGGATTTAACGCACACTTGAGGTTGTTTACTTATTTCATTGGGTTGAATTGGGTTGCAAAATGTTGTTAACTAGAATTTCAGTACGTTCAGGTCAGAATACTGGGAGGAAC